TACTAAAGTTTTGTCTGAACAAATTTACGGAAAATTAACTAACGAACGGAGACGTAACAATATTATTCGTTCCCATTTGTATACGCCCCGATTTTCATTATTGTAACATCAGTTCTGTGATCGATACTCAACTACAAACATTTAGAAATTAATTTAAAATGATTGATGTTATATTACATATATTTTAATTGTAAATGTTAACTGTGGGAATATCAATTTTCCGTCTACAAACGGAAGAGACGGCATATTGCAGGCTATGTCTGTATCAGAACAGGACAGTAAAACAAATGTCAATAGGAGCATAAACCAAAAACTTTGATATTCCTTAGGCGGAAAGTTTGTTGTTGAAATTCTTACAGTACGCGACCTGCAAGTTATTTACGAATATATATGGAGATTACTGTTATTTGTGAGTTTTCCATTTGATTACAAAAAGTAAAATAAAGACCCAAACGTAGTTAACTCAAAAATGACCGATATTCTTTTAATACCGCTCACTATCATTAGATCCACATATTATGTAATATCGAATAATTTAATGTTTTTTGCCGATTACAATTTACAGTATAAAGAAATGGCCCAAAAAAACGAGGGATCACTCACTTTATCTTTGTAAAATGTATTGGGATTAAAGTATTGATGGAATTTTATTTAATTTTTTTCTCAAACTCATGTTATTAGGGGTTGTAATCAACAAAGTCATGGATCCAAAAGAAATATGACTCATAAATATTTTAGAAAAATGTTTTTAAATAACCGTTGTGATGATAACTCCGATGGTAATGGTATGTCAAAACATGTTCTTAAGACGCTGGCAGAGAAAATAGTCCCCCATTGACACGACGATAAATCTGCGGACTTATAAAACTATAAACCGGGTTTCGATACGCGTAACGGGCACAGTACAAATAGCCCATTGTGTAACTTTGAGTTTAACTACAAATAAACAAGCAGAGAAAATATAAATTTATTCAAATCTTGTCTTTTAATGTCGTAATTTACCTGTTAACCACCTAGAGGAACATTTCTCTAGTTCTAATTTAATTTCGTGAACATAGGATACACTTTGTTTTGCTTATTTCTTTAGTTACCTGGTTCAGGTTTTTATCTTAGCTTCATTTATCTATATCTAAACAATATCCAATAAGCAGTAAATATTATCTGTTATTCATGCTCAATTCGGAAAATTAAATTCGCCATGTTCAATTAAAGATAGTATAATAGTGTAGAGTTAAGCTATATTCTTGTATACCTATACAAAGATCTGAGTGGCCTACTTTTTCACGTTCAAATTAAATTATATACAGGGTGATCCAATGAGAAATACATGTATCACAATGATGTCTTGTGGGAAGAATATAACACACTAAATTTTTCAAATAACCATATTTTATTTTATTTTTAGGTAAAATACTGATGGAATGGTTTCGTATCTAAAGCTGGAGGATGGAAGTTCATGGTTCAGTCGCATACACACAGCATTTGTTTCAAAAGACATTTGAAGGTCTGTTCTAACAGCATCCAGGAAAGTTCAATGTCCTGTATGTGTTAAAGATGCAAGGTGCCTTGCTGAACAGCCCCCAGAAGTCCATCTGAAGATTAAGTCTGGAAATGAAATTTTCCCGTGAACTGTATTATGGATTTTGTACGATGATATATATTAATACATGAGAGCTTATCATATTGTTACGTCTCT